TCCGTGGACAGTAAATCCGTGGACAGTAAATCCGTGGACAGTAAATCGTGTACACGATAAATATGAATGATTTTCTATGTAAAACTCATTCAATTTATTGAATCAAATTTTAATCTTTTCTTTTTATATTTTAGATTGGCTTCAACGATACAAAATTATTCAAATCAACACAATAAAAAAAATGTAGGTATTCGTCTTTTAATTTTCTTTTTCTATCTTTTTACGATTATTTGGAGGATGGTAAGTCCTCCTATTATCTTTTTTATATATTTTTATATTTTAGCCATTGACTAATGAAGAAATCGATAATAGGGGTAAGTTATCTTTTTTTCTTCATCGTTTGAATATTTTTTTTCTTTTCCGTTTAGTCATCAACATCAACGAGTGAGTTTTTCTTTCTTTTTCTTTTCTTCGTTGAGATAAGAATAGTTAGGGTGAGTGAGGTATGTTGAGATTAGGGTTTCGCTTTATAAGAAGGACTTCCGGGTAGTCCCTAACAGCCTGGCCAGGAACTGTCCTGATGTCCGTGGCCCACGATCGGGCCCCCAGACTCACTGACATATGACATCGAATGGGTGCATGTGGATGATGTGGGTCTTCCCGCACGTGCATGAACTTTACGCTCGCCACGGCTGCACCAGGATGGTGCCTGGTCGCGCGCGCGCGTGCGAGAATAGAATAGCAATAAATTCCTTTTTTCATTCTATCGCAATTTATTTGAAAGAGAAAGAACAAACAAAACAAAAATTCGGGCATCATCGTATTGAATTTCATTCGATATTAAATTTTTGTACTCGGTGATTTCCCCAATCGACGACATAGAGATTGCCATGTCGATCAAATGATAAACCTGTGGGACAAGCGAGTTGATTCGACTGTGCTTCATAACCGTTTCCACCAACAATGACACTTCCTTGTGTGGCTCCTTTTGGCCAACGCATGATTCGATGATTACCGTGATCAGTCACATAGACAGTACCCAATTGATCGACAACGACTCCTTGAGGATATGACAATTGTGTAAGACTAGTTCCTTCTCCTTGGCCACCGGCTACGACAATGCCTTGTTTTGCACCTTCTTCCCATTTCGTTACACGATGATTTTCATAACCAGACACATATACTGAATGATCTCGATCAACAAATACGTAGTGGGGTTCAGAGAGTTGATCGGGACGATTTCCTTGTCCATTGCCACCTGCAACTACTGTTCCTTGAGTGTCACCAATTTTATATCGTCTCACTTCATGTTTTTCTACGTCAACGACATAGAGAGAACCATTGTCGTCCATTGTCAAACCCCAGCAAGCGATATTTGAAATAATTGTTTCTCCACGAGTACCATTTTGACAAGGCCAACGAACTACTCTTTTATTCCATCTATCGCTGATGATGAGACTATCTCTCTCTTTGTCAATAATCATATCTCGTGGCCAATTTAATTGATGAGCTCCATTTCCATGTCCATTTCCGCCAGCAACTACTTTTCCATTCGTTGCACCAGATTTCCATTCCACAATACAGTGATTACCCTGATCAGCGACATAAATCGTTTGATCATCGTCGACGTACAAACTCCATGGAAGAGAGAGTTGATTGGTTCCACTGCCATCGCCATTTCCTCCAGCAACAGTGATACCATTCTGTGACCATTTTGCATTCGGATGAATATCAGTTGAACTTGCACGAAGTGGTACTAAAATGAAAACAAAAGTATGAAGTAGAAAAAACATCGATTTCATTAAAATGACTCATTCTGATTTGTTTTAAACAGTATTGAACTGCTCTTAATTACAAAAGCTTTTACTTATGAACTTGATTAGAATCTGGTTTTTCTCAATGTTGAAAACAAAACATTGTTGATTTTTCTGAAATATTTTGTGTAAGAATCCTTAGTTTGACTAAAACTAACTAAAATTTAACTGGTAATGTGAAAAATTGCGATAGACTCGGATTTTTATCGTGAATGAAATTTTCTTTTTTATCGAATTTTTCCAACATATTTACTGATTTTGTTAGTTCGATTTTGAAATATATTTAGATTTTGCATGTCATCAATTTAAAAATCATTTCCTTTTTTTATTGTTTGGATTTTACAATAAAATGAGTTATAATAGAATTTGAACGTAAGGAAAAACAATTTTGTTATCAGTTGATAGGAAACTGTGTATGATTTATGTTCGTCACACATTTCTGAGTGAAATGAGACAAAATAAATTTGCAACTTTTATATGAATTTGTTAAAAACATCTTGTTAGATAATAACGATAGTTAATTATACTTAATTACCATGCATAAGACGTTTTTGACTGATTCATATAAAAAAATTACAAATTTTTTGTGCAAGTATTTTTCTTTTTTTATTCATCTCATTCAATTTACGAGTGTGTGACAAATATAAATCACACACCATTCGAAAAGTAGTTTATGCCATTAATTTTGCATCATACTTATTATTGAGTAATTTATTCCTGAATCTCAAACAAACAAGTAGTTTGTAGAAAGACTAATCGAAGTGTTAAATAAGATAAGTTTAGATAAAATAATACGTAAGTTCGAATTTTAGTACATGAAAAGAACTCAAAAACAATAAATCTCTCCCAAGTTCAAGAATATTTGAAGAATCTGTCATATTCATTACTCAACATTATAGCACAAACAATAATCTATATGAGCCATTCCACGTAAGGCACGACCGATTCTCAATAGGGACGCT